TATATATATATATATATATATATATATATATATATATGAGGGGAGGAAACCTCAAAACAGGACAGAAGCCCACTTCCAAGACTGGGGGGGAGGAGAACTTTTTTAAAAGTTTTGCAACCTATTTTTAAAATGAGAATTCCTTAGAGGCCATCATCCCTTGCTCTTTTTTGCCCAGAAAAAAAAAAGGAAATTCAGAGCATTTGGGAGCAATCCTCCAGAGACCCAGAACTCCCAACCAAGAGATCTGTGTGACCTTCAAGCTTGCTGTCCTGGATCTCACCATGAATCTGGAGGGGGGGAGCCCAAAAGCCATCTTTGCCTGTCTAGCATTGCAATGATGCAAAAGGACTTGGAGCTCTCTCTTTGCAAAAGGGACTTTGGAGGAGGCGCGCTCAGGAGGCATCACTTTGCTCCATGCGCGCTCCCGAGGCTCTATTTGCAAGCCCCACCCCCTTTGTTGCAAGCCCCTCCCACTATGCAACACACACAACACACACACACAATACACACACAGAGAGAGAGAGACTGCTTGCTCTCTCTTCCACTCAGCCTTAAGAATTGCAGGGAAGCAGAGCCTGGGAATGGAGCGCTTGCAAAAGCACCTGGAGAGACTTCTGCTTGGCACCTCCAGCAGGTAAAGGGATGATTGATGGATTGATTGATTGGGCAAAGCTAGTTGCGGATCGAAACCGGGATAAAAGTGAGACCACCTTTCCAAAAAATAAAAATCCAACCCAATCCAGCCTTGGATGGGGAATGGGTTGTGGATGGAGACTTTTGGAAGCTTCAGTCTTCCTACCTTCTGCAAAGGTTGGGTTTGTGTGTGTTGCTGTTGTTGTTGTTGTTGTTTCCTTTTAAAATTTTGGAGATGGAAAGAAGGAGGGAAGGTGGAGTCAGGAAATGAAAGAATGCCCTGCTTTTGGAGAGAATTGGCATTGCAAAACCCTTTTCCGTTCCTTGAAGAGGCATCTTGCAATAGACCTGTGTGACTTGGAAGCTTGCATCCTGAGCTGTCCGAAAGGACTGAGATTTGGGAAGACCTCATTGGGACAGGTAGAAGTTTTCTTAATTTTGGTTTGAGGGGACCCTGTGGCGCGAGAACGACAATAAGAAGACATTAAATAGTAAGGATAGGGATGCATTGCAATGTGCAGTCAATAATATGAACAATCATAAGTTAAATAATAAGGATAAGGATACATTGCAATGTGCAACCAATAATAACAACAATCATAAGTTAAATAATAAGGATAAGGATACATTGCAATGTGCAACCAAAAATAACAATAAGAAGTTAAATAATAAGTATAAGGATACATTGCAATGTGCAACCAATAATAACTATCATAAGTTAAATAATAAGGATAAGAATGCATTGCAATGTGCAGCCAATAAAATCAACAATAATAAGTTAAATAATAAAGATAAGGATACATTGCAGTGTGCAACCAAAAATAACAATAAGAAGTTAAATAATAAGGATAAGAATGCATTGCAATGTACAGCCAATAATATCAACAATAATAAGTTAAATAATAAGGATAAGGATGCATAGCAATGTGCAACCAATAATAACAACAAAACATAAGTTAAATAATAAGGATAAGGATACATTGCAATGTGCAGCCAATAATATCAACAATAATAGGTTAAATAATAAGGATAAGGGTACAGTGTTCTGTCTTCAGAACAAAGATGCAGCCAATAATATCAACAATCATAAGTTAAATACGAAGGATAAGGATGCATTGCAATGCACAACCAATAATATCAACAGTAATAACTCAAATAATAAAGACTGGGAAACACTGTTCCTGTCTTCGGAGCCATGATGTAGCCGATATAATGGTAATAAAGAGCAATGACGTAGTCAATAATAACAGCAATCATAAATAAGGATACATTGTTCCTGACTCCAGAGCTGTGTTTTTTGTCTGTCTGTTGCTTTAGCCCCTTCAGGGATGCTCAAGCTGTGGGTTTCCCACACCGCCAAGAGGTTGGACTAGATGACCGCTGGGGAGCCCTTCAAACTGAACAGTTCCATGACTCATTTACACGACATGCCTGGTGCCTTTTCCTTTGCTTCTGTGCATCCCAAAAAAGCAGTGTTCCTCCGTGGGTTCCCCTTTAAACCCACTCCGCCGACTCTCCAGGTCTGTTAAAGGAGATGCCTCGCTCTTCTTCCCAGAAGGAGGCATGAGCTGTAAGGGGTAGTGCAGCCCACTGAGAAGAGCCTCTAAAGGGCATCCAGCTCATCTCCCATCATCCCCACCTTCTCTTCTCTCCCACCTCCTTAGTACTAGTTTTAAAGATTCCTTAGTCCCTCTTGGTATTTTATTTCTGCATTTGCCCTGGAAAGGAGAGGAATTGATGTGCAAAGCCCCAGGAGATGGGCAGGTAAGGAGGGAACCTGGAGAAGCAGGAGAAGAAGAGACCTGGGTGAAGGTCCTTTGACCTTGCCATAGGGATGGACGGAGGGTGAAATCCCAAAAGGCTTGGGAAGGAGACAGGGCTGGACTTTTTAACCTCTTTTGGAAGAAGAAAGGGGGATCAGCTCCAGTGATCCAGGGCCAGGTAAGCAAGATTACTATCTCCAAATTATTATTGGCTATGTGAAAGGTAATGAAATCCATGTTGGATGGGGAAAGGGACTTGCAGCAGCCTAAAGCTTACTCAATGACAAAGTGACCAGACGTCCTAACCTTTACGGAAGAGCAGGCACCACAAGATGGAGGACATTCAAGGAAAAAAAATGGAGGCTGTGACCAAATAAAAAACGAAAAACACTCATATGATTATAAATTCATGCTTCTTAAGTCATGCTTAAACTGGAGGATGTTTTGGAATTCCTCCTGAAGGTTGAAATGGAGGACATGTCCTGGGAAAGGCGAGCATCTGGTGAAAGATGCCAGGAGAACAGTATGTAAAATGATGTTAGTTTATCAATGAAGAGTAACACGAATTGGATGTGTGGTTTGTTGTTGGTTGCCATTAAGTCGTCTTTCGCTTATGTTGACCTTCTAAATGTGAGACCTTCAAGAGATCCCATCATCCACTGCCCTTCTCAGGTCTTGCAAAGTCAGGATAGCAGCTGTGGCTTTCTGGTTGCAGTCCATCCACCTGGAGTGCAGTCTTGCTTTATTCCTACTGCCTTCCATTTTGCCAAAAATTATCATCTTTTCCCAAGAAGTCACATCATCTCATTGATATATCCAAAGCACAACAGCTTCAGTTTAACCACTTTGGCTTCTGGGGAAAATCCCAGCTTCATTTGCTTTAGAACCCATTCATTTGTCTTTTTAGCAGTCCATGCAATCCGTAAAACTCTCCTCCAGCACCACATTTCAACCCCAGGTCTGTATAAGTATTTATACAGTTAGCTAAATAGACATATATACTCACTCTCTCTATGTATATATACACATAAATACATGCGTACAAACACATAATCTCTCTATGCAAGTATGTAGATTATAGACAGACAGACAGACTACACTGCTTTGGAGTATTTATATATTTATATATACTCCAGACCACTCATTCAAAATTTATCTGAGGCATATTGCCATGTAAGAGATAACAAACATTTCAAATTCAGGGATCAGTCTAGGAGTGATGCTGGTTTATGTGCCAATACATGTATTCCTGGGGTCAAAATATATCTTAAAAGCATCAAGTCCCATTTGATCTTGGAAGTTAGACAGAATCAGCTCTGGTTGGTACCTGGATGGGAGACCAACGATGGATACCATCTC